AGTGTTGTATTAAGATTAGTATTTTAGGCTCCTTCCTCCTTCTTCCTTCTACCTTCGCACTTCTTACTTTACTCATTGCTTCCTGATCATCTACCTGATTGTGCTGCTAACAACGATATTTCTAAGTGGAAACGCTGAATTTGGAAATTGGTAAATTTCAACGCCGTTACAAGTTAAAAACTCTTATTTTTTGTTTGTGTGTCTGTCTGTTTACAGATTTGCAGTTTCGCGTCCTCTTGAGCTCAACAGGTTGCGACCGGAAGTTCAAAGGTAAACTAGACGTGTTCATTCCCTTTTTTACTAAAGTTTATTTTAAATTCCAATATTGACATACCAGATCTATATATTACAGTGTCCTATTTGTGATATTTTGAGATGATTGAATTAAACCACCATCATTTGTGACATTAAATATTGTTTATGTTTCTTTCCCTATAAGTGTTGCATTCCTTTTAGTTTAGCAAGACGAGAACAAGGATCTCCTAGTCTGCTTTGTTTTACCTTTTAGTAAGCATTCCTCCCCTCTCTCTTAACATTTATTGAACGCTAAGTTGAGCCTATCCGGATTACTTTTACTGTTTCTTTTTTTTGCTTATTTGTGCTTGTATATAAGAACCCCACATATTGACCCCGACCCACCCCTACTTGGCTGAGCTTACCGTGTGCTTATCTAACGTAATTTTGTCGCGTTTGCCCAAAGTGAACGGTAACACAGTCATAAAAAGAAACAAATGAAAAACGTTAAATTAAGGTGTGTGGCGCAGTGGTTTGGGGGCTCGACTGCGGTGCTAAGGATCCCTGGTTCGAATACGGGTTCGGGGCTTCGGGCATGGAATATTAATTTGTAAATCTTGAGTTGGTAGAGCAGCCTAGACTAAAACCCCGCCCACTTAAAAATAAACAACAGAAAAATAAAATAAAAGCTGCGGACAAGGAAGAAATTTTTTCCAATGGTGCTTCGATGTTAGGGGAAACTACATTGAAAAATACAATAATCAAAACAATCGTCTGTCTTTTGTTTCATGTCGAGGTAGAATTCTTTTCTAGCGACCCTCGTATCTGTCTTGGCAGAAGAGTTTCTTATTTTTTGTATGATCTTATTCTTATATAAGTTTTTCGAGCCTGTTCCAAACACAATTGCAAAGGTAGTAATTCTATCTAATTTCAGCGCCATACGACGAATAATAGCAGTCTATTAAACAAATTCGAGCTGCAGTTATTAAAATTTTAGAATTCTAACTGCGGGCAAGTTCCGGAGGCACACCTACCTACAAAGATTCAATCGATAAATTACATAGTCAGCAGTAAAGTTGCTGTCAGCGGCAAGTTAGTTTGTTACTGTGTACGATCTGAGATCAGCCGTTTGAGTAGAAACCTAAATTGGTTTTATGTAAACGTTTACTTCTACAAAATCCTTTTGCAGATTCTATGCAGTAGTTTAGATGTACCTAGGTAAAATCACGAATTATGAATAGTGGATGAAATAGAAGGGTCAAAATGCTTTCATGTACAGCACATCCTTCTATAATGCCTAGTCGATTAAAATGTGCGAAATGCACTCGAATTAAAAATGGTAGGTCAATAGAGATGCTTTCGAGGTCATTAAAAGGCGGCTGCATTGATTTCCTTAAGCAGATCAAATCTATTACTTTTAGTGTTTGCTCTGTAACCATAGACGTAGGTATCTTGGAGATATCCGAGCACGTCCCATTGTCTGCACGTGACACATTCAACGGTGGATGAGTACGATCGCTGAAGCTTTTGTTTCATTTAAACAAGAAGTTCATTTTCCCCTAAATAATTTAGAAACAATAAGGAAACTGCATTGAACATTCCTGAGACAAATCTTTAATCTGGACCATGCATTGCATTTGCTTCGGACATTCGATATAAGTATTTCGTGTGATATTCCAAGTTTGTCAAAAAGCAGGTTTACAGAAAGTTTCCACAATTACTTAGATTGAAATTTCCGTTTCTATTTTACACAACAAAGAAACTTTTCGAATAGGAGGGAGCATGTGTACCTAATTTTCTCACAGTGCTTGTTTTCTATTTTATACTGTCTTTGTATTGCTGAACTGTGCTAAAAATCGAACGAAATACTTACCTATTCCAACTTTGTAATTTTTGCATTCTTAGCTTCCAAAAGCTTTAAGAAAAACGTACGTAACTCGAGTTTTACTGATGCCATGAATTATTGTTTTTACAACCTAACATGCAAATTACGAAATGCGCGTCGCAATTTGTACTCGTAAAGTATAGTAGAATTTGTGCGTTATGAATCTAAAGTAGTTTTATTGCATATCTACATACTTTAAAAATACAAACTAGCACTTTGTTTCAAACTTTCAAACTCATTTAACTTGAAATTTATCGACTCAAATATAAAATGTACATTTTACTACAGCAGGATTTAATGGCTCACGTAATTTGTTGTATTTTCAAAGACTGGTGCAGAAAAGATTACCAAAACATTTTAGATAGATATATTCCTAGCATGCCAATGAAAGAGCAATCAGAAAGAAAATCATAGAAGTAACAGAATGGGAATTACTGAATAAGGTACTATTTGGCTTATAACAGGAAAAAACCTCTTTCTTACACTTTTTGATCTATACAGAGGCAAAAACGAGCAAAATTTTTAAAATTGGAGTGCTACATCAAAAGTTATAGTTCGAGGTATGGATTTTTGGTTTTTCTTTGAAAATCGGTTTTTTGTCCTTAACATTTGATGTTGTAGCTCAAGCTTGAAAATTCTAGATATTTTAGATTCCAACCAACATGGTTTTGCATCTAACGTTAGTTTCATAAACTGAAACGCTTTAAGTGCTACCATTGTACTGAATATACAATGGTACCATTAAGTGCAAAAAATTATATGCTTGAAAGACGTCTTCTGCAAACGAGTCACGGCATGAGGGAAGTAGGTGCAACTAAAATTGTCTCAGATCGACCCGGAAAAAAAATTTTCTTATAGAATGTGGCCTGTAGAATCCATAATTTCAAACAGTTCCAAGATTGCGCTACTAGTTACTAGTTCAAAAGTTACAGCCCTTTGAAATTTTTTTCGAAATTGGTTTCTAGTCTATAACTTTTGATTGAGAAGTCTAATCGAAAAAGTACGAATTGTTTTGGATTCTACGCACCAAAATTAATAAGAAAAATTGTTTTCCCGAGAAATTTTGGTGCAGTCGATTTTTGGTAAAAAAGGAAGGTTTTACACTGCCTTTTTTTGAGGCCCGAAAAAAAATTGTCTCAGATCGACCCGGAAAAAAAATTTTCTTATAGAATGTGGCCTGTAGAATCCATAATTTCAAACAGTTCCCAGATTGGGCTACTAGTTCAAAAGTTACAGCCCTTTGAATTTTCTTTCGAAATTGGTTTCTAGTCTATAACTTTTGATTGAGAAGTCTGATCGAAAAAGTACGAATTGTTTTGGATTCTACGCACCAAAATTAATAAGAAAAAGTGTTTTCCCGAGAAATTTTGGTGCAGTCGATTTTTGGTAAAAAAGGAAGGTTATACACTGCCTTTTTTTGAGCCCCGAAAAAAAATTGTCTCAGATCGACCCGGAAAAAAAATTTTCTTATAGAATGTGGCCTGTAGAATCCATAATTTCAAACAGTTCCAAGATTGGGCTACTAGTTCAAAAGTTACAGCCCTTTGAATTTTCTTTCGAAATTGGTTTCTAGTCTATAACTTTTGATTGAGAAGTCTGATCGAAAAAGTACGAATTGTTTTGGATTCTACGCACCAAAATTAATAAGAAAAAGTGTTTTCCCGAGAAATTTTGATGCAGGGTTCACTATCTACAATAAATGTTTTTTTTTTCGTGATTCCGCTTACCATTTCTTGAAGGGTTTGCAAATGCTGTCGTTCCAGGCTATATACCGGGTGCTGACTTGCGCGACGCAGCATAGGATTACAATGTTAATGTTCAAATATTGCCTTCTCTAATTATTATAGATGCGTAAACCACTATTAGGTTTTTTTGTTGAGAAAAAATTACATTAACAATCCAAGCGCATCCATTTGGCAACGGTTTTTAAAATAAGTGTAATACTTTTTCCCTGGTTTTCCCGTTACAGAATTAAACATCTATGGCGTCGTAACCTTTTTCTCTACAAAAACCCTCAATAGGCTTTACCTCTAACATATATAAAGGAGAGAATTTACTATTTAGCATTATAAATCATATGCTGCGTCGTGAAAGTCGCCATCCGGTATAAGAAGAGAAATTTAATGTACTTTACCTACTAAGAAAGTTTATTGACAAACGTATTTTTTATGCGCAGTATATATCTAAAAATGAGTGTTCTAAAGAAGTCATAAATACGCAAGGCATAGATTTTATGCGCACGCCGCTGACGGTGAAGGTGAAAAATTTAAGGGACTGAAGTTCTTACTCTTCATTTAGGAGATCGATGATTTGAAGTTTTTTAATACTTAATCGTAACTGAAATTTCAAAAAGCAAAAAAATCTGAAAAACCTCGTTATTTGTTCCAAGCGGGCATGCAGCGTTTATTGATTTAGTGCATAATGAAAAGGAATAAAAAATAACAATTCCCAACTGTTTTTAAAATGTGTACTTAAAAATACAACCAGCAGACAGACAAAGCCCTTTTGTCTGTATAAAATATCTCAAAATGTTTTTTTGCAAGTAAAAAAACAACATAAACTAAAACATAAAATAAAAAAGAAAAAAAACAAAAAACAGCACTTGGACCCCTCCAGGTAGAGCTAAATGGTAAGGGTAAGCGACAGAAAAATATTTGCGGAATGTGGCACAATAAGTGTTTCCGTCCTTGTGTTTAATTTTAGCATGGAGTCATTTTATTCATGACTTTTAGCATGGCAATGTTGGGTTGCCTAGATTGTTGTTAAATTTGTTTCAATAATGAATGGAATGATAGTTATAGTAGGTACTTCCATAGATGGTACTTCTTACCATTCATCAGGTTCATTTTATTCATTCATATTATTCAAATAAAAGGTCATATGGTTAGGTATTACATTTATTACAAAATTCACAGTCTTAGTAGTATCTTACCATACAATACATAAAAAAAGTTTTCCATATGTTACCCATCAAAGATACATACGCAATAACTGATGAGATATTCTTAGCAAACTTTACTTGAAGAATAACAGTATAAAAATACACCCTATGAATACAATGATTTTATAGAAAGTTACGTTAATACTTATGCAGTACTAATAATTGGAGCAGATTTCAATTACTTTTTTAACAAATCCTATAAATATAAGACTTTAGCTAGCTCTCGCAGCATCCATTAACTTACCTAATTATAGTTGAGTTGTAATTATACACTGATAACACTTAACATTGAGCAATTTTACTTTTGCAATAATTAATACGTTTACTACATGTAGCAACTTATCCACCTAATAAGGCAAATAAAAAAGGGCTTCTGTTTGTTAAGACACCTTTCAATCATGTTCCGCTTATACGTCTCTGATCATAAGATAACAGTGTCTATAGATTACCATAATAAAATATCTAATAAGTTTCAACAAATGCAATTATACATTAATTAGGTACCTTAAGGAAACTTTAAACACATTTTGTTCTATAAGAACCAATACATTTCCTTTGTTACAGTCTCACAAACAGAACAAAACAAAGTATACTAGAATTATATATATACATTAAAAGATAGTACCTACACGAAAAATTATTTTTACAAAACTTTCAGTTATAAACGTTTAATGCTGCATAGGTAATTAGTAATTGTACATTAATCTAATATAATATAGTGCTCCATTACAAAAATATTTGCTTTACTTAATTTAAACAAATAAAGCCTAATGGAACCGCTAAAATTAAATTTTCAACAAAAATAACTAAAGATGTAAATCAACATTTTTACAATAACAATTTTGTTTTTTGGTTCTAAAACCCAGTCACACAATAATCATGGTCAATTATTACACTTACTTACGAATTGCAAGGTTGACTTGTCGATCTCCATTAGACTAAATTGACTAGTTAATTAAAATGGAAAAGGAGGTTCTTCGCCGCTTGATTCTAAACTCGAAGGTGGAGTGTCAAGCTGAGGAAGACCTAAATCCAAATACTCTTCATTCGCAGTTATAGTAAGAATCCTATCTAAATCTTCAACCAGTTCCGAAAATATGGGTCGCTCATTTGGTTGATAACTCCAGCAGTCGCGCATTAGTAAATATATCTCCAATGAACAACACGCCGGTTTTTCCATTCTGTGACCATTCCTCAATAATTGGAAAAGCTTTTCGACACTCGGCACAGACGGATATGGAGTACCTAACATTCAAACAATAATAAATGAAAAGGTCAGTGTCAAAAAATTACCTCCAAGTGTCATAATTTCCCACAACAAGATTCCATAGGACCAAACATCAGACTGCGTGGTGTAAACGCGGTGAAAAAGTGCTTCGGGAGCCATCCATTTCACAGGCAGTCGCCCATCTGTTGTTTTTCTGTAGTAATCGTTACAGTGCACATCGCGTGCTAATCCAAAGTCGGCAATTTTGAGAATAAAGTCATCGCTTACAAGAACATTTCTAGCTGCCAAATCACGATGTATACACTAAACTAGGATATTATAAATACGTCTAGAGAGATACATGTTTGTTACCCTTCTCGACGCCAAGTATTCCATACCTTTTGCCACTTGGTAGGCAAAAGATACCAAATCTTTTTGCGTTAAAGTTTTCTTCTCTTTCTCAACTATTCCAATGGCTGGTTCGTATCCTGAGGAAGATCTGTGCTGTCTGAGAAAATCGCGGAGATTACCGTGAGGTGCGTATTCCACCACAACATACAAGGGGCCATTTTGCGTACAGCAACCTAGTAGGTTTATTATGTTTATGTGTTTGCCAATCATTTTCATCATTTCCATTTCGGACACCAAGTCCATCATCTCGTTGTCTGTATGACCTTCTGCAAACGATTTAATAAAACGTGTTTAACTTGGTCATTTAATGTAGGTACCCTTGAGCATTTTTACGGCAACTATAGAATTATGGCCGGGTTTAAGTAAACCCAACGAATCTGCCTTAACTACTTTGCCAAACGCTCCTTCGCCTAAAGTCTTTCCCAGTGACAAATGCTCCCTTGGTATCTCCCACTCTGAGTCCATAGGCAACTCGTACTCTGATATAATATCGTTGCCATTATTACTTTGAGTTTTTTGCTTCTCTATTTTAACAACAGGCATCAACTAAAGAAACGAAATTAATTTAAGTTTCAAGAAAGGAGGTTTACCAGAGGTTCCACTGCGCTGGACGAATTATTTTGAAATTTCTCCACTATTACTTTTTTGGTCCATTGGGTGACAACAGCCGCTCGTGCTGTTTCAATCGCCAGGAGTTTTTTCATTTTCTCCCTTAACTTAAATTAATAAAATGTATCAATCATGCGCTTTTACTTACTGCTTTAACTTTCGTAATATAACGAGTACTACAATTACGCCGAGAACGGTAAAGAGAGTAACGAGCGCAGCTAGACCCAACACCAACAAGGATGGGGGTGGTGTATCATCCTCAAACTCTGCAATGCGCTAAAGATAAATATCATTGGAGGTTTTTAATATGCTTACCGTCCACAACGCGCAAGTACGCACTAGCGCTATTCACCCCTAAGCTGTTTGCAGCTACGCATGTGTACCACCCTTCGTCTTCATATGTAACGTGGTACAATTGGAGTAATTCTGGATTCTGCATATCCGCGCTTGTCTACATGTCCATAAGTAGGTTTATTATGACACAATTGATATTCAATGAAAGTTTAAACAGATGCAGAATAATACCCAACATATAATGCAATAACAATTGTTTGTCGTCAATTTACTTGTTACGGTCTGGCGTCAGTGTATTTTAACAGTACCATCAATACCAAATTTATTTGGTTTGAACCATTGTCACAAGTGTTTAAATTTTCATGTGAAGGTTTGTTTTTACATAATCACAATGAATTGAAAGAAACAGGGGTCGAAAAATACCAATTTCATTATGACGGACCCTCTGCGTTAGGATTATTTTGGTTTAATTACTAAAACAAAATTTGAACACATGCCTGTTATAAATACAAAACATTTATTAGGCCGAATTTATATTATACTGAAAATATATTGCAGCTGTTCCGTCTTTCAATTCACCTTTATGCAGATATATTTATGTTAATGTCATATTGCAGTTGTAATTTCTTAATTCACAGATTTCATTGAGAAGATTAAAATGAAACAGAGAACGTTTGGTTGGTCTGCAATTCAGAAATAGTTATTAATTCCCCTGAGTAGGTAGGTATTACATATTTTTGTTTTGATCACATTTTCTGAATTGCATAATATGTAGTTAGGGTACGTATGGTAGACATACTGAAAGGACAAATATTGGTATTTTTACGATTTATAACTGTGTGTCACGGAAAACTAAATGAAAAACATGATAAAAAGTTGGTAATGGAAACTAAAATTCCATAGAATCAAGAATAAGAAGATTGTACCATTGTTACTGCAAAAGAAGAATGTAACCTTTTTAACTCATTTGAACAGAATCTTCATTCAATTATTTTTGTTCAACAAGCAAGTGAAAACGATAATTATAACAACTACCACTCACGCGCTGCTTAGGTAGTAACACATGATTCAAACTTTCATTTTGGTTGTGTTTTATGTTTTCCATTACAGAAATATTTCCAACAAATTTTGAGTTCAGCGCTCTTGCAAAAAGATCTTGTTCTCACCTTCTACTCGGTGGCGCGCCATGCGCATACCGGGCGTTCAAAAATTATTCTGGTAGTGGTTGGCTGTGGTTTACTTTCTCTAGCCGTGTCAAAAAAACACGCACGGACGATCATAAACACAACGAAAACAGTTTTGTTTTAAACAAAACTCACTTCTATTGCAAAAAGGACAGAAACTGGAAAAGACTAGCGTTAGTCTCAATAAAAAAGTATCGAGAGACTGAAGGCACTACCTATACAAATTATCTGATTTTGCTTCCCCCATTGGAATTTGACTTCCAGTTTGTTATCCGTTTTCAAAGTCTCACCCTGAACACACAATACATCATGATCAATGATATATTCTAATAAACTAAAAGCCAGCTAATTTTTTATAAACACTAGGAGGCAATGATTGCTAAGAATTTGTTAAAAAATTGCAGTTCCTCTTTCATTGTATGCGTTTCTGCGATTCTGACTATCAATTACATATTTTATATTCATTAAGTTGCTTTGTAGCGGAAATAGAAAAGAAGGATGGTTACGCAGTTTATTGGTCCTTTCAATTTGTTTGCCACCGTCGTGCATTTTAAAAAGGAAACTTAATATGTTAGAAAAAGTATGAGAAATACCTTAACATTGCCATTTTCAACATTAGTTCCAGCAACCCAATATACCACAGGATTTAAATCAGACACATAAGTGCAACTGAAATTGACATTGCTACCATATAAGACAGTTTTGTTATGTGGACGATCGGTTAGAAGAGGTCGATTGTGATACCGCTCTAAAAATCAAAAAGTATTAATTGTTATATAGACATAATGCCTCATTATATCTCAATCAAGGTATTAAAACCGGCTACTTTACGTTAATGGTTACAAATTCAGTAGGTAGGTAGGTACATCAAAAAATGAATTATTTCTGAATTATTACAGTAACAAAATCATTTTAAAACTCTAGGCGGTGTCATCTACACGCGCTATTCTGTACGTATCCATCACCATTAAAAGCATTCTTTACCCAAAACCGACAAATGTGCGCCTCCACCAAGCAGTGAATCAAAATACCAATAGGGTGCCACTGAATAGTCAAGAAGGTACCTGCAGAACGGTTCCATTTACAGTCTCATTATTAATAAATTCCGGTGGAAAGCTGCTTGGCCTTATCCACTGTAAATACGGCTCAAGATCAGCAATTAGTTGTGGACATTCCAAAGTAGCATTATTTTGCACTAAAACCGTAGCATTTTGTGGATAGCCATCTTTAATGTATGGTTTGGATGGATAACGTTCTGTTTCAATGTTAATATAGTTAAATGGCCGTCTACATTAGATAGCTAAAGATGTCATTAAATACTTACCAATTACTTCTACGGTATAATTATGAGAAATACATCCCAATTTATTACAAACGTTGCACGTATAGGTTCCCGTATCACCAGTAACTAAATCTTCCAAAGTCAACGACCACGGACCATACTTTATACTTCCCAAATGTCTTTTAGGCTCTTTATCGTTAATCTTCCAAGTTATTGTAGGTACAGGATATCCGGTCGCTTTACATTTTAAACTTATCATATTTCCAGCTGGTTTTACCTGCGTCGGATACATCTTTTTTGGGTTTGTAAACTGCGGTGGTCGTTCTTCTGGTAAACCATCAGTTGCTTTGTCCACAATGTCGTGGGTATCGTCATCATCTTGACCATTTTGGTCATTGTATGGCGATTCCCATGTTGGATGGGTTGTCACTAAAATTATTACAAATTTTCAACTAAAAGATCTCAGATCAAAAAAGAATCAACCTTAAAAAATGTAAAAGCAAATAAACGAACTCACCACCTACTTGACGATCTTCATTTGGATTTATTCCAGATGACGACGCTAGAGTAACCGTCAATACTATATACGTAATCAAATCCATTTCTGATGCGGCACTTAACCAAATGCATCTGAAACAACATGTTAATAAATTAGTATTCTAAAATCTTGGAAGGTTTAATTCATTAATCCCTGACCAATATTCCGAAAAATTTTATTTTATTACTTAGTACCTATACTCTAGTTCGGCATCATCTAGAAGAGTTCTGGGGTTGCAGGTCAGGATGGTTTAGACTTTAGAGGAAGTTTAAGTGAATAGTGAAACAAAGATAAATACTGATCAAAGGTCGTCGTGTTTCATTCCTCCGACACCACAGACTACAGAGGCCTGCTCAGACTTGCCAGAGCCTCTTCAGGCAAAGGACGGGAATGTAAGCAGCCACAGCAAGGGATGAGAACGGAAAGAACTGAGTTGGGATGCTGAGGGAGAAGGGTACTGCTCCAGCATTTCGTACATTTCTAACATTATGCGAAGCTACGTACGTCTGAGGACCACCCCCTGACAAAACACCAGACAGATCAGTAGCGGGAAGCTCGCTTTTATTTGATTCTGATGGGTTACGTTTGGGGGAATAACTGCCAACTCGAAATGGTAACTGAGAGTAGTGGAAAAGCACCTAAAATGATAATTACACAATTCCTTACACACTAACGAATATGTACGCAAGCAAGGCATAGATCTCAAAGGTGAATAAAATGGCATCCCCTACTCCTCTGGTCTAAACCTAGTCCCCTTCTTGAGATCTAAGCAATTGATACACTACCACTACCACCATAAGAGAGCTGGTCTGTCCCGACGCCCAGTTCACAAGACATAAGGGATAAAAGGTTTTAACTTTAGCGCATTTTCCATCAACTAATCAGTACTCCCCAAAAGGTCATGTAATGCACTATTTATGTGTACAAAGGAGCATAAGTTATGGCATAAATATTCTTATAAGTAAGAAACAGCATTGCGCAGTCCGCGCATGCGCATACAAAATGTTTACAATATGCGATATGTTTGTCTTTACTAGAAGAAAAATCTCTCTATCATCACACATCTGATTTTTACAAATATACGTTATGCTTGTCTTTACTAGAAGAATCTTTGGTTAAAATTTCACGAAAATATCCGTATAAATAAGAAACTTTACAATGAGCATGCGCAGGCTGACGGACGGACGGACGGAGAAAGTGGCCATAATAGCGCCTTCCAACATGAGATGGAAAATGCGCTAGAAAGCAGGGTGAAATGACCCAACATGAACATGAATCATATGTAGGACGATACTGCAAAATGAAAAAAGAACTTAAGCCCTGTACCCGTCAGTTTTGAGCGCTACACGTGACTGCACGAGAGAATTGAACCCAAAGTTCTAATTTTCCGAACAATTTTGAGGCAAAAGAGGTGATTTAAAACTAGGTCTATGTGCAGGTGCAGGGGTGAGAATCCCGCGGTTTCCACCCCCGCCTTTACCACGTATAGTGATGGTGATCTGACCCAACGTAAAATTTAATCATTTCAAGTAAAAAAAAGTCGAGCCTAACCATGATACAAGATACGATATTGCGCATGTGGGCGGAAATCGATCATATTTCACTGCAAATCCCGCAATAATCACACTTTAAATTCAAATTTTAAAATCTGTGTGACGTAATGCGCGAATTGGAGGGATTTGTGACGGCAATCTGGCATACATTGTTTTCATGGGACTTAACCCTTTTTTTTAAACGGAACACTATATTTTAATCTAAAAAGATCTAAAAGTTCTAAAAAATTTCAAAAACCTGTTTTAACTTTTTCAAACTTTTTTTAATGTTTTTGAATCCTTTTTGAATTTTTTTGAATCGCTTGAATGTCATAAATTTAATATGCTACGCTTAATTAATAGGGTGTTTCGTTTAAAAATATGCTTAACAGATTATTTAACCAACACTATAAAGAAACTTTTCTAATAATAGGTTTCTGCATCTCTTTTGAATAAGAAAATATAGTCCTTCTGAAATTGACAATTTTTTATTTTACAACCTAGCAGCGGCGCAGCAAAAAAAAAACTTCAAACGTAATAAATGGAACATTCTTTTCATAACAATACGTCTCGTAAGATCCTAACTTATACATCACAACGTATTGCCTACTCTATTTAATCGCCAGATGTATCCTGTCTAATCCTGTGATTAAACATCGCCAAAACTATTTACCTACCGCCTCCAATTTTCGAAATCTGTTAGTTTATATTGATATTTCTACATCGTAGTGCCCTCTGAAAGCCATGCATCCAAGTTGCTATTATGAGACTTTTAAACTGTAGTCTCCAGATTCCTTCCCTTATTGTCACGCACGCTCCCTACTTGGATCGAATATTGTAGTTTAGGTAGGGTTGTGGAACGTGGTCGCCATCGGAGCAGAAAGGACATCTTTCACATTTACAATGTCTTCCATATTGATTAAAAGCAAAGACATTTATCCCTTATCAAATCGTACAGTCCTTTTTCCTCAATTTGAGTTTCACAGTTAGCATTTTATTGTAGTGGACTACGGGAAATTCCGAAAAGCGTAATTCAAACCATTCATATCAACTATTCTACTAATGTCAACTGTTTACCTACATTTATGTTTGTATGTTTCGTTCTTGCTAGAACCAACACCGCAATCCGCAACAGAACAAAATTCTGTTATAGGTACCTACCCAACAATTGTGGTGCAACTTTGAATAGTTACTTTCGGAGTTCGGTTAAACACGAAATTATCCAGCAGACACATCTCGGTAAACTCAGGTTTCAAATGCACATATCTCGAGCACGGAGTGTGCGAAGTCGATACTCACAAAGAGAAAGTGATACATCTCCATCGTCCAAATTTTAAATGCAAATATCTCCAGAACGGAGTGTTGATGAACTCGCACCATGACGGTGGGACTGTTGCTTTCTCAAGGAAAGTCTTTTCCTTGGAAACACCTACCACCTCCATCAACGTCCACATGAAGAGACTCGATGTCGAGCCACTCACCATCTTCTCTTACGAGCTCTGTCCATATCCAACGGCAAGAAACCTGCTTTTTACGCTGCCTTCACACAAGAAGAGAACATCAGATTTGTTGTCGTCAACTTTGGGAGAAATGTATGTTTAATTTTTGATGGGTATCCTGAGCCCAAAAGAGCATCCCACTTGCAGAGAGTTCACGGTGGTATTATGCAGCATCAGCAGAAATTATGTTTAACACACCGTCCATCATCACAGTCCCCCCAGAGAAGATGCTCTCGAATGACAAAAACAATGTTGGTCTCATTGAGCATTTCTGTTCTTTTTTTTCTGTGACAAAAACAGCAGAACAAGACGTAGAGCGTGATATCGTCTGAAAAAAGTACCTTCAATGACCACGTCATTATCATTGTTGATTTATTTGTGCTCCTCTACGGTCTAGGGTCACTAAAACGAACGTCTACTCCAAAAGAGTGGCAGTGGTGAGGCGGGTTGCATCTTGTTCTCCACCAGCACCTGGATTTGGACTGTTCGTCCACGCATTTACTGGGTGCAACATCAGAGGAACATGAAAATGTGGAGTCACTTCAGACGGAATCAAGCCCTAGTGAACCAAGAAAGGGTTTTCCTCCACCCAGATGCCACACACGAACAAGTCGCAGCACAAGCGCCTAGTTGCCCTATGTGAAGACGAGACGACAGACACCATCATCAATGTACGCTTCCGTACTTCCAACGCCAAAGCGAATCTGGCCCGTTCGTCCCCAACCACCGAGGCTGCGTCCTATCGTATACACCACTAGGTGCAAAAGTGGTTCGAGGAGAACCGTCACCGTCTAAGGTTGGAAATTGAGCTCGGCTGGACTCATCTCCATTACCAGTCGGCAAACCCCTGCCCCTCAGAGCTCCTAAAACTCATTTCTTGCAAATGCAAGGAGGAAGATGATGAAGAGCCTCGAGGAAACCCTGACGATCCACGACGACGATCCAATAGTGGAGGACCTACCTGTTGAAGAGTGCATGTGGTATGTGGGTATTTGATTGATTGATTGCTGTAATTTTGATGACATGTTTGTATTAAAATACATGTCACCTTTTTTAAATGATTTTTTCATTGCCACGCCAAAAATAAGAAGGGTTTTGGAACATTTCAGAAAACTGCGATTTTACCTTATATAGCTTTTTTGAGAGAATTACGAGGGCATAAAGGATGCACTTGAGCGGTGTAGTTTACCTGCTGTAATTAATCCCGACCGTCCTATTGTTATTTAAACCCGCCTCCGACGTCCCTGTAGCCGGAGCTGTCGAGGGAATGAAACACAGTGACCATAAAAATTCAGTCGACAGGTCCTACTGTTCATTTTATTTATTTATTTATTTATTGTCCCTCTTGTTCTGGGCCCTCAATACGCTTGCCCCCAATTACAGAGTGACCCGCGTAATGCTTTTTAGAGGTGCCTCTGCAGAAGGTCTTAAGTTGTTCTATACTGCTCCGGTATTTACCTTATGAATTAGGAAAACTGCAGGGAAACCTAATTTTGGAGTAGCCGGCAGAATGCTCGAAACTGATCTAAGGAAATTCCCATCTCTGCCACAGATGAAAAATTTTTACCTCAGCCCAGGTTCGAACACCCGACCTCCGGTTTTGTAGCTCTACCAGTGAGCTACAAAGCCGGACGTTCATCCATAGCGTCCTACTGTTCTGCATTGCCTACGTGCCACATATTCTATTGCTCATCCATAGCGTAGGATTCTACGAGTAAAAAATAAGAGGAGAGAATGTAACGGTGGAGGGAAATAGCATAGCACGCGACGGAATTCGCCATCATTACCTCCTTTGCGCTGGTATGTTGACTTGACTTATGATAAAACAGAGGAGACGATGTCAGTTTTGTTTTACTACGCCACTGATGAATGGTGACATTTTTTACTCTCATCTAGGGCCGGACTGGGCCATCGGCCCTGCTCTCATCTGTGTTACAGCTACATTTGACATCTGGGGCTGTCACTGCTAAATAGCCTGACAGTTCTGTCAATAAAAGTCGGTGACACGGACCTTCATGTCTCCTCATCTGTTACTCCAAAAAGAGTCAACGCAAGCATCGG